TAATAATTTTTAGACTTTCATCAAATGGAAATGACGTATTTTATAGTTTTGGAATAGAATGAATAATAAAGCTAAAATTAATTTTTATATAAGTAAGTTAAATAATTTTTATTTTAAAATAAAGGTATCACATTTATTATAAATTTTGCAGTGTTTTCGTTTAAGGCAAAAGTACTAATTTTATAAAATGAAAATTATTAGCATAATATGATATAACAACCAACTAAGTTCCATATCGTTTAAGTATTAGTAAATTTCTTCTTTTACTAACTACCATGAATAAAATATATCATAAAACGTGTATTTTATGTGTTTATCACTAAAATTCTATAATGATATACATTTTATTCAAAATATGCAAAAGTATGTAAAATATAATAACCTGAAATTAATAATGATGTAATCTGTGGATATTTCAAACTAAATCAATAATCATAATTTGCAAAATAAATATATGTACAATGCTTATAAATCTTAATTCTAATTAATATCATCAGAAAAAAATGACATATTGTCATGATCGACATAATCTGATGATAAAATAAAAAAATAGCAATTATTTAAAAAAAATTGTAGACTGCACATCTTGTATTTTCAATTTTAACAATTTAACAATTTGTTTTAAAATATATTAGTATAGATACAGTAAAAATATAAGTGATATTATATCACAATCTATGTTTTTTCCTCTAAAAAATTTTGTTTTCTCACTTCATTAAAACCAATAGTTTAAGCTATGGTGCTTTTAATACTTAATATTGCTAACTCTTATAGCTGTTCTTCAGTCGTCGTCAAACGAAGTAAGTCTTTAGAAGTTTAAGTTAGCTAAAACTTTTTTTTGCAGTTGCCCTACTTACTGGTTATGTATAAAATAATTTATACAATATGCAAACATTTTGATAAGAAGAAAGGATATTTTGAGATATCAGGAAATTTAACACTTCATTTATTTGTAGAAGTTCATTTTTCATGTAAACTTGATTGTAAGCCAGAAAATAAATGATAATTCACTAATTCACTTCCGTGTCTATTTCATCAATGTCAAATTCATAAAATGTCGACAATTATTTATTTAAAACAAGATTTATACTTATATTTGATGTGGGTTCAATACTTTAAATTTGTTAACAATATTGGAGAAATCTTTAAATCGACGTTTCAATATATTTGTAAATGAATCCAAAATAACAAAGCATGTAAACATTTTACATTTTCTTCAACTGACTAAACAATATATTCAAAATTCCTTCAACCGGTATTTTCTTCTTTTTTTGTTTTTCGCCCTTGCTTAAATTATTTAGTTTCTTCAAAATAAATATTCTAAATAATTTTGTTTAATTATGTTTCATTTTAAGAAAAAAAAATGTTTATAATTTCTTAAAGATGAAATTTCTGAAAAACATATTTAAAAAAAAATTATTATTTGTATTCATTAAATTAATTTTAAAATGTTTTAAATAACTATAATAGTATAATAAAAAATGAAAATTTGGATAAATATTGAAACATACAAATAAATATATATAATATATAACATTATGACATTAATTGATGTTTAAAATACGTTCTACACAGTAATTAAAAAATAAACTGTGGGTCACATGATTCTCTTGAGGAGTCAGCTTATGTAGATCTAATGAAAGAAGTGTTGCAAATCGATGAATATTATTTCCATTTATCAATAGCCTTTAATAAAGTGGCAGAGCCAATAAGGACAAATACGAGCGAATATTTTCTTCTATGGAAATCTCTAGTCCGTCCACTGGCCCAATTTGAAATTTACATCAAAGCCTAGTTACTATTAAATATTCTTTATTCTCTTTTATTAATACGCGTACGAGGACAAAATATAAATACATAATATTTAAATACTATAAGTAATATCTTAAATGATCTATGTAATAGTTGATGCAATTGTTAATGTTATCATTTGTTAGTTAAGAACATAAAATTAGGAAGATAACATTAAAATAAATTAAATATATATTTCAATATATAATTTTAGTTACTCCATTTAAGTAAACATGTTCAAACTTATAACTTATAATAAACAATATGAAACATAATTTGTAATTATTCAAATATTATTTTATTTTATTATGTAGGTAGATAGTTAAAAGTATATAAATATAATGTTATTAAATTAAATACAACTATTATGAAATATTATTTTGAATCATACAAAATATATGTTTATGTGTATATGTATATTATGGTTTAAATATGATATCGTGAATTAATTAGGTGCAATGGAATAGAAAGCATTGATATAGCTTAATTTTTATGGTAGGTATAGAGAAGATCTAAAGTGATGATAATTTTTTTGAAACCTTTTATATAAATGAATTAATGTATTCCTGCTCTAAATACGGGGAGTGTGACAGGAAGTATGTAGCAAATATTTCATACTTCATTGTAGTTAGTATAGTAAATACGTATATTTGGCCTTGTAGTAAAATACAGTCTTTAAGTTGTCCTTACTAGGTATAAGATCTTAGCGCCACCATTGAAGTTTAATAAAGATTGTGTGGTTATTATAGGTAATATTGTAATAATTAATTATATTTTTTTATTGTCTTTATACATTCCGATCGGCCAGATGATCTATATGCGGTGTCAAAACCAGTCGATTTTAGAGAAAGGTACTGAAATTTATCATAATAATTCATCAATATGATACAATTTATTGGTGACATTAGAAAGGTAAACTGAAAACATTACGTTATGGAATATAATAATTTTATATTGAATGGTAATAACAGGGACAACATCGTAACACATATCAACACAAGTATTATAATACTAAAAAAATAAATATTTATGCATCATAATACTATTGTTCAATTTATAATCCATAAAAAATGTGTTATTCATAAATGTTTAACGGCAGAAATATAAATTTATATATATTATTTGAACATAATTGTAACAGATTGTAAGTCATTTTAAAAAAAATTAAAATAAAGGAGGTCCAAGAAGATATTTTATAAATGTAAAGTTGATTTTCTAAGATATTATTTACTTGAGTTGAAAATTAAATAGCTGAGAGACTGAATTAGGTCTTTATGTCTGGTTCTACAGAAAAATTTATTGCAATTATATATATATTTGTTTTTATTGTAATTACGATATATTTTTTAGTGTAGAAAAATTAAAAATTAGACGTGAAGGAATAATCTAAAAAAAAAAAAAAAACAAGAAATATTTACTCTTTTCTCTTTTCTCTCGTGACTAGTACCAATTTCACTTACTGGTTTTAATAATAAATGATTTTTTTAACTTCATATTTTTATTGTCAAATTCGATGAATTTTAATAACGGTATAACAACTTTTTTTGTCTATTAAATATTCTACTCCGTCGCATCCATGCAACGGTTTCTCTCGTGTCATTATACAATATAATAATAATAATAATAATAATTTGCTTGTTCATTTTATTATTATTATTATTATTACTATACACACGTTACAAGGTTGTCACCATGAGCATATACACTTACATGACTTACACTTATATAACACATACTTCATGTATAGTTTTGATCACAAGACCTATAAAAACCCTTCGGTCCTATAGACGATTTAGGTACTAGAAAACGTTCTGTATTTTTAAACACGCTCGTTGTCAATTTCTCTCGAGATTAAGTTTGTATAAAAATATAAAGAAAAAAAAGAGAGGAACCACATGGTATTCCCTGGTGACCATGCTCTGAGTGAGTTTCTCGAAATATATACTCCGCCACGCCACATTATAAACGGGCGTAGGTAATAAAAGTGTTCGCGCGTGAGTGTGATGAAAATAACATGGTTTTCTATTGCGTATATATATATATATATATTATATATATTGTACTTGTAGCCATATGATTCGTTTCTCTAATGCAAGAATCGTCCACTCTATCCTCATGTTTTAAATATTAAACTAAGCATTGTGTTTATATCGTCCCCAATGAAAACGTTTTATTACGAGGGCTGTTTAAAAAACAAATAATAATAAACAAAAATGCCAAGGAAAAAACAGGAAATGGAAAAACGCGATAACTATAATATAATATGTAGATGAACATTATTGTATGGTAAAAAATATACATATTATTTACATTTATGTATACTGTTTTTTAAATTTTTAATCAGTGCTGGGGACCCTTATTATGTTATTTTGATGTTGGGTTTTAGATTTTGATTCTTTTGATAGTTTTAATATACGAGTACAATATCGGTATAAATACGTTTATCGTTTTTGGTATTGATTTCTGAATTTATAATATACTCTGTTTTATTGGTAGCTGTTAAGCGTGACATGTCAATTAGATTATTTTCTGTTGCTCAGTATCACCGGATATTTGTTTTATAAAGTCTTAAGACAAATTCCTATATAGATGATATGTTCAACGCATGATTATTTATCGTTTATTTACTGTAGTTGATGGCTTCGCAGTCATTTATTTAGCCCCCTAGTGAGTACTAAAAATATGTTCTAATTCATATTTACTGCCTATTTATAGAGCTATTCACCGAGTATGTCAACCCCTATTTTTCAAACTTTTTTTTTGACATTATTTATTCAAAAACAACACCTTATACAATTTTACTTTGGATGTGATTAAGCTTTTTTTTGTCTTTAACAATTTATTACTTACAATAAGAAGAGTTTGTTTTATTTTGAAAATACGTACTTTATATTATCATTGGGCACTCCTTAAATGGCATAATGAATCTAAATAATTCAAAACAAGGCTTCCATAAGTATACTTATAAATTTTAAAAATTCATAGTTGGTTATTTTTATTTTTATTCGATTTCATGAATTCATTATTAAAGGAAAAAAAATTGGATGTTCGTATACTTAGTTCTGTATATATTATTTTATATCTACAGGAATATATTTTAAAACATTTATGCACAGCAGTTAAAAAATTCAGGAAAAAATACGACTTAAAATTTGTTTTTTACACTCTTATTTTACTTTTATGATGACATTCGAAAAATTATATTTCAGGCAAAGCCGAGCTGTACATAATACTAGCTTTGTTGATCGGTATGGCCACCGTTATAGTCGGCTGTTGGCTGTCGGACAATTGCTGGTCACCCGAACCGGAACAACATTACACTATAGCGTGGCACGATCGGCACCGATGGATATAAAATCGTCTGTGATTGTTCTACTGGATGGCGCACAATAAATATACAAAAATTAAAATATGTTTTGATTTAAACTTGACCTCGCATTTTTGTATAATACTACATATTCTGTAAAATCATTGACCGAAGAAACTATTAAATCGTAAATCAACTTAAAATTAACAACAACAATAATATTAATAATTATTATTATCGGTCGGAAGTGATGGGTAATTAATTAATAATATGGAAATTTGTGTTATGGGATCGTAACGGTTTCTAACGGAGATTTATCGATATTTACGACAAAAAAAAAGATACTGACTTTTGTTTCGTTATAAAAATGTCGTAATAAATTGTATTTTTAGTCCAGCTGACTGCTGCTACGCTTGTTTGTCATATTTATAAGCATCCAATTAAAATAACACAGTTTTCCATTTTTTTTTTTTTTATTTTTAAATTCATTTTATTAAAAACATTACTATACAACCATTACTTATAATAATCTATATCATTTATGAAACGTTAACTAACATTGGTCTTAAACTCCATAGACATATTCTAAATAAAATGTTGAAATTAATGTTTGATAACATTTAATTATTCCTCCATTTACGATCGTCCAATGATATGAATTAAATTACTATACTTATACATATAAAGTTTAGAATCGTTTCGTTTTAATAGTATCATGTTAGTGATGTAGCCGATATTATAAATCTTAACTTTTTTTTTAACTTGTACATAAAAAGTATTTTATTATCCAATAATGAAATAGTATTTTTAAATTTATATACAAAACGTGACCCGTTCAAATACAACCTTTCGTTACGTTGTAAACTTATATCAAAATAATATGTAACCTTATAAAATCATGCATTTAACCGTTTGGGCATGCATTTTTCCTTCTAGTTGTCAATTATTTACATGATATACACATTTATATATATACATATACATATTATATAACATATATAACTTATGATCGTGTATACATTTTTGTTTAAGCCTTTTATTAACTGTCAATTAATTACAAAACAAAAGGCATTAGGTTTAATTTTAATAAAATAGGAAAAATATGTTGTTATTATTGAATATTATTGTAAAACATTAATTTATATTATATTATTATAGTTATTTCATAAAAATATGTTATGGTGAAGGTTTTGAATATAGTATAGCTACTATTATTTACTTTGATCGATTTTTTTAAATATAAAGAAATGTGTAAATCAAAAAACAATATAGAAATAATATTATACATGTACAATTTTTAATATTTCTAGATCATTGTTTATAAAATAATATTTACAGCCCATTGTTTACAATTATGCATATCATGTATGTGTTAATTATTTATGGCAGTGTATGTTATGATGAAAAGCTAATAAAATATAAATATGCTTGCTTTAAGTTGTAAATCAATTCAAAAACAATAGAATATCTCCAAAAATATCAAGTTAAAAAAACAATATTGTTTCAATGTGTGCGTTTAAAATATATATTTATATTTTGTTGCAATGTAGAAAAACAAGTTCCTGACTCCTTTTAATGGTAAAATTTGATATGAATTATACTTAATATTTTTATTGTTTGTATTTTAGATTAATTTTTATAATATTAATTATAGTAGTTGTGCAAAAATAACATATTTATGGTCCAAATATAATTTAGGGCAGTTTTTATTATAAATTAAAAACGAGCATGATTTTCGCACATAATGATAAGTAATTGACATAAATAATATATACATACTACATATTTATATAAATATATATTAAATAATTATGTTATAATTGTGTATGAATATAAAAAATAAATAATTAATAATATAGCCAAGAATATTTGGATTAAAATTGAATTTTTTTCTTAACATCTATTCCCAACAGCTGAAAACCTAATCAATATAAAGGTTTTATGCACAAGATTTTACAACAGGTATGTATTTTTTAATTTTATCATTTTTTAAGTATGTAATGAAGAAAATACTATGTCTCACCAATTGAATAGAAAATAGAAGAAATGTTATGAATTATATTTTTTATCTTTACCTAATATTTTATAATACAGCTAATTTTTTTTTTATCTCTGCCATCGTATAACAATATTTATAATTCTCATAAAAATCTAAAAAACTACAAGCAACACTTAAAAATAATTTTAATTATATACTCTTTGTATTAAAATTTTTTTATTTGATTTTATAACCAATGATCTTTGGCAACAATCGTTTGTGTTTTTATATTTAAATTGTTTTGGTATCACAAAAATCAAACAATATCCATAAGTCTTATTGTATAATATACGTAAATGAATTCATAAATTTTTATTTAAAATACTTCTTTGAAAATGCACTAAAATACAAATACAAAAAGGATATTCATTATATTTTATTTTGTTAGGAATAACGAATAATAAAATCAAAACTAAATATTTGTCTTGCTCTTTATAGGTATAATATTGTAGTTAATTTGTAATAACTAATAAGTAATAAGTTTAAAATGTAATGAACAAGTATATACATTTCATCACCTTTAAAATATGTATGTAACCTTTTATGTTTCTTAATCATATAAATCTTACTGCTTATAACAATAGTTTCATCCATTAATATTAATCTCATCACAAGCTACCGTTTCTGTTTACTCTTCAAAAGGCAAAAATTATTTTATGAATAGCATTTTCACTTTTACTTTTACTATAATGAAATGTATAAAGTTTTATAAAAAAATAACTAAATAAGTAGAAAATAATTTATTATATTTTGAATGAAAATCATTACCTATATATAGATATTAGATAGGTACGATAAATTTAGAGATATCATATTTTTTTTAGCCTCGATAAATAATAATAAAAAAATAAAATAAATTAATTGTAAATTAAATTTTTAATACTTATATAAAAATGAAGCATTTTTTCCATCTAAGGTATAAATAAATATTGCAATAGGTTAAAATATGACGATTGTTGTACGTAATAAATATAAGTTGGGGATGGTTGGAAATCATTTAAAGAAGTAATACTTCAAGAAATTGATTTAATAATTTATACCAAAAATCGCAAAAAGAAAAATAATAATCAAAAAGGTAACAAATGATGAAATGCGCCAAATTTTGATTGTTATTTTACATTTTTACTAATGTTCAGTACATGAAAAATGGTTATGACGTAGCCTAAATTACATTATTTCATCTCTAAAACTGTGTTATTTTCTCCTAATGATGTTGCTTTAAAGGTCACGTACTCGATTCGATTATAGTTACCTTCTCCACTTATACGGTTGGTAAATGATATTTTTGATAATGTAATATTTTAGTATTATTGCGAAAACGTGTTTAAAACGAACTCGTGAAATCAGAAATATTGAATATCGAATAACTCATTGTATTTATCGACTAAAACAAATATAACCTACACGTGTATCCAACCATAATACAATAATACTTCCTATAACGTTGTAAGAAATTACAATCATAAACAATAATTGTGGTGGATAATGTTTGTGTAGGAATCGGGGACTACCACAAAAACACGGTTATATTATACGCTTTCATGAGCACGCATGACATCAAAGAAAAGTTCACAGACAAGATACAAGCCTTTTACACCAACTGCAGGTAAAAATTACCAAATTCTCACAATTGGCTGCAAATCACATTGTGTTTGGACAATATTTCACGATTAATAAGATAATATACCAAAACTAACGTGTGAACTAATGTTCATACTGTTTTATTTTTATTTTTGGATATAAATTCAAATATTTTAGAGACAAGTTTAGTAAATTATTTTCAGAGTATAAAGTTTTTGTTATTGATGAATTATGAGGGGCTGAAATGACGGTTATGGTCCACCTGGAATAGGATCCTCGTATATCAAAATTACATAAATTAAATTAAAAACATGAAATGCACGTAAAATTTATACAGTGAGTATATCTAATAAACCTATAAGTAATAGAGTTTTCGTGACTGAATATTCTAATTACGTTTGTATACACTAAGAAATTTTATTTGCATTAATATAATATTAATAAATGAAGATATATTATTTACATATTTAATTAAATAGTAATATGATTAATCAATACATTTTAAAAAAGTAAGGTGAATAATTAAAATAATATAATATTGATCATTCGAAGTTAACATTATTTATTGATGTTTGTTAGTGTTAACACGTAAAATTTGTTTAATGTACACGTATTTTGTATAAAGGCTAAAGGGTACATACGAGTATTTTTCTCTCCGCTACAAAAAAGTACGTGAAATACAATTCTAATTGTTAATTTACAACAAGATACTATGTATTTTGTTTTTAGTCTGTAGATGAACTATTAACAAAATCAAAATTTGATAAAACCTTCTTATTGAGTCATTTTTTTTTTTTTTTTTTTTTTTTTTTTTTAAATATGTATGAAAATAACTTTATAATAGTGTAAATTATATCAAACTGTAGGTAACTGAAAAATGGATTTGTTGTGAAAAAAAATAGACTTCAGTAGAACAGTCATTCCGTAGTTCGCAATCTCACTATTTGACATCTAAGAGTTTACTATCCTTAAACCCGCATATTTGAGTAGTATTATCTCATGTAATTTCAAATTACAGCAATTCAATGTTCCCATACTAAATTTGCTTATCGAGAATCACACATGCCGTACAAAAGACACCTACGTACAAATGTATTTAAATCGTCTAAACATTGCGCCGTTTTATGCTTATAGACAATCGCATTATATTAAAGTTATTAAAAAATATCAAGTACAAAAACTATTTTAATGTTTTCTAAACGGAAACCCTATAGTGCGTTTACGATTATTTTATGATTGTCTCATCAGAACATTTATCGATTTCTACGGGAACATTCATTTTTACTAATAAATATATAATATATCGATTCTGCCAACTACTGTTCACCTACCTATTGATCTTGAATATTCATAAATTTATATACACCGTATAAATCAGCTATAAGTTTTAGATTGTGTTGGTAATTTACTGAACTGTAATTAAAACAATTAATTTTTAACATGAATAATAATATTCATTTTTTAATAAAAAAAAAGTATATGATTTATATGATGTACGTATATTATGTACTTATATAACATATACTACAGTTAATGTTATTTATTTAAAAATACATTATTTATTTAAAAATAATGATTTAAATGATACATAGGTTGGTACGCTGTGCAGTTAACCAACTACCGACATTTATAAGGTTTATAATTTTAAATACTTATATATTATAATACATTTAAGACTAGGTGAAATTAATATACGCTTCACTTATCATACTCTAACCCGATAAAATACGTGCATAAAAATAAATTATTATTTATATCAATAATTAATTTAGTTTTACTTTGGTACGTATAAAAGTTTACCTTTGTCATTTATTATTATTGGAATTTAATAAATGTCAAAATAATATTTTTAATAATATGACGACTGAATTTATAACAAAATAACCGTTCGGTAATAATAATAATAAAAAAAAAAAATGTTTCTGTGGTATAAATAAATAAACTGTGAATAATAAATTGATTAATCGTGTATAAAAAGACGGTGGCAAACCACGATTGCGAAATGAAACAAACACAGATGATAATTCGGATAAAATAGAATTCAAACGGCTTTCACAAGCAAATTTAAGTTTTTACACAAAACCTATACCAGGTCAAAAATATATATGTAAGTTCCGACGTGGTATAAAAAAGGTATACATGTAAGTTTCTATACGGTAAAAAAGGTACATATGTAAGTTCCTATACAGTTAAAAAAAATACATATGTAAATTCCTATACAACAAAAAAAAAAGGTAGGTACGTATGTATAAGTTCCTACACTACATATATTATTATATATTATTATATTATAATATAATTATTCAATAATTGTAAAAAAAATATATTACATTTATATTATATTATAATTTATAAGTTATCAATTCGATAAATAAAACGTTCATACGTTTTTAAAATTCATAATTAA